GGAAATGCAATCGGCGAACAGGGGACACGTCCGATGAATTCAATGGGTTGTGTAATATTGTTCCGCGAGCAGAGGTTTACTCAACGTACCCAGTCTCCTTTCTGGATCTTCGTGCATGTAGCGGTCCATGCCATAACTTCCGTTTTATTTGCAAACTACCCACGGCTCCCTTCCATGCCGGGCATAACAGCATTGAAGTGGGGTTCGGTCGAGCACAGCCGTTGCCATCAGCCGCAATTCTAGGATGACAACGATTGGACCCCTCCCTAGTGTCCCTCGACTTACGTTGTAGTTTGTTCAATGTCATCCTGATTCTGGCTTTTGTCTCGGCATCATGCGGGCCCGTAGTTATCCCCAACGACATAGAATCAACTTCGACGGACTCACTCCACTCCTGTTCTGATAATCCGAGCAACTTGACCCTGAAGAAATCGATTGATTCAAAGTAATGAAGATGGGGTATAATCGGGTGGTCGGTCAACAGCAAGCGTATCCACCCGCGCCTCCATGAGGGCGACTCGTTTAACCAACCGTTCTTTGGAAATCCTGTGTTGAATTCCCATTTATCTGTGCTCCTTTTCGCGTTCTCTTTTTCCGGTCCACTCGTAACTGAATTGGTCTTGTCCTTTTCCCCAAGAAAATTGAACCCATGATCTTGACGCACCGCAGAAAATGCTTGATGTTCCTTCCGAACTGCAAACAACTGCGATCTGTCCAAGACAACCCAAATTGGGACTGTGGAGTTGTAGAAACCAGTCCCCTGAGTTGAAATCTCTTCGGGCCATTCCATTCGGGTCACATCAGCACACGTTCCTCTTACTGCAGAGGAATTTTTATAAAAGCTAGGGAGAAAACCAGCTCCCGTTGGCTTAAATTATCTATGATCTGGCGGGAAGTTGGCTTAATCCATTTAAGCGGATTAAGCCTCTGCACAAATACAATGCAGTGCATATTCTACTCCAGCCTAGGCTGGCACCACTTTGAGCTGATTAAGTTCATCAAGCCATTTCAATTGTTTCAGCCATTTAACCGATTAAGCCAGCTGTCAAGCCATTTACGCCATTTCAACCGGTGCCATCCCAACATCGCCAGCCGTCACTATCGCTGCGAGAAAATATTACACCCAAATTTCATCACGGCAGAGAACGCGCACCTTTGACCCAGGGAAAAATGAAGGCTGTCTGTATTTTGAACGGGTTTGTGAGGAATAAGCGTTATCGTGGATTATTAACCTATCACCACCGGAATTAGCTCGCATGATTTTCAACTGGTCAGTATCGGACCGTATGGGGATTAACCATCGACTGTGGTAGCGAACAACTCATTAAATTGAATTATTGCAGGGCTAAGTCATTGTACCTGTATTAATGAACACATCCCGGCGACAAAGACGATCAATATGCTTCTATTTCCAGTGCAACAACATAAGATGGAGGTAAGTATGAAGATTTTAGACTCAATATCCACCAGACTCACCTATGCCACTCGTGCCACTCACAGACCCTGGCGCTGTATCCCAGTGTCTCTCTTTCTCCCGCGGGTCGCAACAAAAATCCAGTGCAGGTGCGGGAAGCGAGATAGTACTGATCGCGGGGGGCAGCCTCAAGAGAACGGACTCGGCAATTTGTACTCACAAGGTCGCAGGAAGCACGAGAGTGAAAATCAGTGATTCACTCCCTGCGGCGTATTAATCTTGAGACCTGGGCATTGACACAAAAGACGATTGATTTACCAGCTCGGTAGTGGACGGTCCACACCCATGTTTCATTGTGCGGGTCCCGGGAATCGCCCGTTCGACTCGGGCCTGAGCCATTAATTCGCGCCTGAGAGACCTGGACGCGCAAGTGAATGAATCGGGTCGATAGTGGACGGTCTTCTCCCACAACTTGTTGCTGATGTATATGCCTTGGCGGGAATCGCCTGTTCGACTTGGGTCTGAGTTACTGAGTACGCGGACATCCCCTTTTTATTTGGTTTTTCGGTTTGTGGTAGTTCACCGAGGGGGTTCGATTGTATTTAATTCCATCATGGCTCGGGTGTTGAATGTGTACGGCTAACCACCTGTGCACTACTACTCGTTTGTCTTCGGTAAACTTGTTGTTCATGTTGTGGACCACGCGAGTATAATAAATCCCCCCCCCCCCCCCCGTCCCCCACAAGTCTAAACGATGAAGTGATAGTTCTCTAGCGTTGTATCCGGAATCTGAGGAAGCAAGAGACGATTAACCGGCTCAGGAGTGAACATTCCTCACCCTCAATTTGTGGTCATGGAGCATCCAACCTGCGATCCGAGAATTTCCCGTTCGACTCGGGGCTGAGTAATATTAGGGTTAGGAAATTCTACTTGTCCTTCTTTCTCTTGCGATGATTTGCCATTCGGAATTCCCTAGGGGGGTTGAACTGAACAGGAGTGAATTAGAACTAGCACTGATCGCCCAAAGCAGAGTGCACGCAGGACATTGTGTCCATCGGATGCTTACCCCAAAGGTCTCGGATAATGAATTCAACCGGCTCGTGAGTGGGAGGTCCGCACCCACCATTCCTGCGAGAAGCCAGTTAAATTTGGCCTGAGCCATTTTGCTGGAAGCCTTTTTTGTGTCTTTCTTTTTTCTCTTTTCAGTGCACCCTGGCTCGGGGGTGCTGAACTTCACAGGCACGTCACCAGTTTCAAAGAAGTGAATTAATTCTCGTCGCAGAGTACACGCAGTTGTATCCACAGTCGTACGACTCGTGGAATAACGCAGTGCAGAATTTCAATGACCCGGCTCAGTGGTGGATGGTCCACACCACAACTATGTCGTCGACAATCATCCAAGAAGCCGCCCGTTCGACTCGGGCCGGTGGCCGTAGCTGAGGAATTGAACCTTCTTTTTGGTCTCTTTCTTTGTGTGAAGGTGTCGTAATTTGATTTTTAGTTTGACTTGGAGTGTTGAACTGCCCCAGACAAATTACAGTAAACGAACATCAAGTGCTGAGGAATTAAATCAAAATTATTCTTGGTCACAGAGAGCAGGAGACGTAGCATTATATCTGCAATTGTCTTTGTGAGATCAGGTGCCGGGGGAATGAGAACTAACCGGCTCAGTCCACACCTATAACTATTGTGTCGGATGCCAAGTGCTAGGGCAGACTCGCCCTTTCGACTCGGGCCTGAACCATCGCGAATAAATGTTCGTACTCTTTTTTCTGCATCTTTCTTTCTCTGGCGGTAGTATGGATCCCACCAAACATCCAGTGCCGGAAGCGAGATTGCTGGCGGCAGCCTCAGGAGAGCGGTGGACTCCGCAATTTGTACCCGCAAGTGTGTTAATATTAATATTTGAGACCTGGGCACGAAGGAGAACTATCCGGTTCGGTAGGGGACGGTCCACACCCACAATTGTTGCGTGGTCGCGATGCGTTGATGTGGGATTCGCACGTTCGACTCGGGCCTGAGCCATTGCCAATTTATGTTCCGTTTATGGCTCTCTGCAGTATTATAATCGAGGGTGTTGTTAAATCACGGCGCCCAAGAGTACTCGTGCCAAAAAAAGAACGAACTTTAGTCCGAGCCCGGGAGCGTGGACGCCGTGTAATTCTATTCAAAAACATATGAGGGACGCGGCGAAGTGTCCGGCTCAGTAGTGGACGGTCCACACCTACAAGTCATCCAACCAAACTGACATCGCATCGATGTGGGAATTGCCCGTTCGACTCGGGCCTGAGCCACTAGCAAGTAAGCGACTGCTTTTTTTCTTCTTTTCTTTTGACGCGTGAAAACTCTATCGCGGCAAGAACTGTTGGATTGTACCCCCACGACGTTGAAATGCGGGCAGCCTCAGGAGAGTGGTGGACTCGGCAATTTGTAAGTACCACAACTTGAAGGTCGCAGGAAGAACAGACCACTGCCCTGCGGCGTATTGATCTTGAGAATTGGTCCCGCAAGTGAATAAATCGGCTCAGTAGTGGACGGTCCCCACCCACAGTCCCTGGATCAGCGAGAATCGCCCGTTCGACTCGGGACTGAGCCATGTAGCGTGCAGAAAAAATCTTCTTCTTTTTCTGTGGAGGTGTTGGCTTGGAGGCTGTTGAATTGCGCCGGCCGCCGGGTCCAAACAAATGCGGGCAGCCTCAGGAAAGTGGTGGACTCGGCAATTTGTAAGTACCCACAACTTGAAGGTCGCAGACCACTGCCCTGCGGTGTATTGATCTTGAGAATTGGACGCGCAAGTGAATGAATCGGCTCGGTAGTGGACGGTCCACGCCTGTCCACGCCCACAGTCCCTGAATTGGCGAAGCGAATAATGCGGGAATTGCCCGTTCGACTCGGGCCTGAGCCATATACGACGAGAATTCCTTTTTGGCTCTCTGCAGTGTTATAATTGCATCACCCCGGCGACGGTGTTATTGAGTCGTGCACTCGCCCGCTGAATAGTACTGGTGCCAAGAAGTGAATGAATTTCAGTCCGAGTCGTGGCAGGAAGGACGTTGCGAATTCTATTCACACATGAGACTTGGACGCGAAGCAGAACTATCCGTTTCGGTAGTGGACGGTCCACACCCATGATTCATCCGCTCGAATTGCCATCGCATCGATGTGCGAATCGCCCGTTCGGCTCGGGCCTGAGCCATTGCCCATGCAACTCTAGCTTTTTATCTCTTTCTTTCGTTTGTAAAGGCTTTATAATCTGGTAGCTTGGATGCAAGTTGCATTGCGCCGCTCACTCGGTCCAAACGACAGGGTCGGAAGTCGCGGCATGTCCTATCCACAATTCCCTTGGCGTCTTGAGACCAAACGGCGTAAGAGAATGAAGCGGCTCAGTGGTGGACGCTCCACACCCGGGATTCATCCGTTCGAATTGACATCGCGTCGATGCGAGAATCGCCCGTTCGACTCGGGCCTGAGCCATGTGTCGTGCATGGAAAATCCTCTTCATTTTTCTCTGGAGGTGTTGGCTTGGAGGCTGTTAAATTGCGCCGGCCGCCGGGTCCAAATATTAGGTGTCTCGAAACCAGGAGAAGGCTCGGTAGTGGACGGTCCACACCCACAACTCATACGAAAAAAATCGACATCGCATCAATGTGGGAGTCGCCCGTTCGACTCGGGCCTGAGCCATTGGCAATTCATGTTCCTTTTTTGGCTCTCTGCAGTAGTATAATTGCATCGCGGTGAGGGTGTTGAGTTGCGCGTGCGGCCAAGCAACTAATTTATTAGCCTATCTTAAGACCTGTCGGTGTAGACCGACCAAGGTCTCAAGTTCTCTAGGTCTTAAGTACAAATCTCAAGACCTATTCTTCACTCAGCTCCCACCTGCCGCCAACACAAGCAGGGTCCCCTCCACCTAAGACTTAAGTTCTCGCCGACTTAAGTCGTGCTCAACTCTTGAGATTACCTGTTACTTAAGTTCCAGGGACACTCTAGTTCTGGGAGCACTCAGGTTTTGGCAGAACTCAAGTTCTGCGAGTACTTAAGCCCTGCGCAACTCAAGTTCAGTCAATAAGCTCCAGATGGAATAAAATCAATAAGTTTGTCGAGGTGGGTGTGCAATTGCCAATGATAAGGTATTCAGACCAGGGTGGGAGGAAACTGGAGAGGAGTATGGGTGACCTCTGGGCGACGCAGAAACTGACCGAGTGGATACTAGGGAAATCCATCGTGAATGCCACTGCACATTGGGCTGCTGAGACACAAGTGGGGGACAAGTAGGCGGAGATGGATATGGGTAGGTTGGACCAGTCAGCTCAAGGGTCGTCAAGAGGGTAGGAGCGTAGGTGGCACAGAGATGTTAAGTTAGTGGGAGGAAGAAAGAGCATGCAACGTGACGTTACACGGATGCAGCCACAGATCAATTTCATTGTCCGCTGATCACAGATCAGTGATCGAAGCGATCGTTCTCTTGTTCCCGACTTCCACCTTCGCCCACCCTCACCCTTTCACCCTCACCCACATCCTCCTCTCCCCCCTCTCTTTTTGATTACACAGGCCTATGTGTGTCCAAAGCTGAGAGCCAACATCACGGTACGTTCAATTTTTTTGTCGTTTGTCGCATTGATCTGACTTTGCCACCCTGAGCATCAAGCCCTGTATCTTTTTGTGAATGCCACCTACATTCGGTGTTTTCAGGCTGTTTGGGGAAAGGGTGTGTGTGTTGATTCCAGTCTCACTGACGTGGGAACTGAGATATCTCAAGTTAGTTCAGCAGGACACTTGAGTTCCAGTGGACTTCTAGTCCGTGGCGCGAGACTTAGGTTCCGGGAGACTTAAGTCTTGGCAACTTAAGTCTTGCCCAAATCTCAAACTATTAGAGTGTGTATGTATATATATCATTTTACGAACTTGAGTTTCAGATATCTCAAGTTCGCGGACGTCTCAAGTTATTTGATGTCATACATAAGTTTACGAACATCTTAAGTTATTCCAAGGTCTTAACTATTTTCAAGATTCTCAAGACTTAAGTTCTGGAATGGATAGGGTACAGGGCCGGCTGTAGGGAGATAGGATAGGTCTTAAGATCTAAAAAACTTAAGACTTTCGGCGGTCTACACCGGCCACATCTTAAGATAGGCTAGTATTATTTCATGGCCAAGAGTACATACTAGTACGAAAAAGTGCAATGAACTCCAGTCCGACTCATTCAAAGGAAGCAGGAGCGAATTCTATTCACACTTGAGACCTGGGCACGAAGAAGAAATATCCGGCTCGGTGGACGGTCCACACCCACGATTCACACTTTGTATCCCAGCTGTATTGACACGGGAATTGTCCGTTCGACTCGGGCCTGAGTCATATTGCTCGGAGAAAGAAATCTTCTTCTTTTTCTGTGGAGGTGTTGGCTTGGAATGTTGTTGTATTGCGCCGGTCGCCGGGTCCAAATATCATGTGTCTCAAAACCAGGAGAAGGCTCGGTAGTGGACGGTCCACAACCACGATTCATATACTAGTATACTGGTGACATATTCGCATTGATGCGGAAATTGCCCGTTCGAATGGGGCCTGAGCCATTACCCATGCACTCTAGCTTTTTATCTCTTTCTTTCTTTCCATGGAGGCGCTATAATCTGGTGGCTTGGATGCAAGTTGAATCCCCGGGTTCGAAGTCAACACTGGTTGGAAGTTGCAGCATGTCCTACCAACAATTCCCGGTATCTGTGTACAGTACGCGTTTCGAAACCAGAAGGCAAATGACTCAGTAGTGGACGGTCCACACACATAATTCATTGCTTGGAATTAACGTCGCATCGATGTGGAAATCGCCCGTTCAACTCGGGCCTGAGCCGTGATGCATGTGGGATGTCGCAATGGTTTTTCTCTCTCTTTCCTTCTGTGCAAGCGTTATAATTTGGTGGCTTGGATGTTGAATTGTGCGCACACCCACGAATGCCAAGACGTTAACGAAGTGAAGTCCGACTCAGTCAAAGGAAGCAGGACTATTCAAAAATGGATGAGTCTTGAGTATTGGACGCGAAGGAGAACTATCCGGATCGGTAGTGGACGGTCCACACCCCTGATTCATACCATGTTATTGATCTCGCATCGATGCGGGAATCGCCCGTTCGATTCGGGCCTGAGCCATACCCGAGTATCTATGTTGGGATTTTTTTTTTTCTGATTTCTTTCTCCCGCGGTAGTATAGCCCTCGGCCGGCTGGATCTTGAAATACGGGTTGCAACGAACGTCAAGTGCTATTAGTATCCATAAGAAGGAACAGGTAAAGTAGTTACACGAAGCAAACCGGACCTAAGAGAGCACAAGTCTTGAGACCTGGACACACAAGTGAATGAATCGGCTTAGTAGTGGACGGTCCACACCCATAATTCATATCTCGAACTTTGTCATGACATTGATGCGGAAATCCCCCGTTCGACTCGGGGCTGAGCCATGCGTATTCGACGAACGTTTTTTTCTTTCCTCCCTTTCTTTCTTCTGCGGAAGCTTTATATATAATTTTGTGGTTTGGATGCAAGTTGAATCGCGCCGCCCACCGACCGAAGTCAGTATTGGTCGAGCGGTATCATAATATCCTACGCACAATCCCCTTTATCCGTGTATGTATGTGTCTTGAAACCAGAAGACAAATGCCTCGGTAGTGGACGGTTCACACCCCTCATTCATACCTTGGGACTCGAAGTCACATTGATATGGGATACGGGAATTGCCCGTTCCACTCGGGCCTGAGTGCTGAGCCATGAGTGTTGCTTGGAGTTTTTTTTATTTTTAAAAAAACTCTCTTTCTTTCTTTCTGTGGAAGTGTTAGAATTTGGTGGCTTTGAATGTTGATTTCCGCTGCCACCCAAGTCAATATTCGTAGGAAGTCCCAGTACTTCCTACCTACAATTCCCTTTATCTGTGTGCGTACGCATCTTGAGACCTGGAGGCACAAGTGAATAAATTGGCTCAGTAGTGGACGGTCCACACCCCTGATTCATGTCATCGTGTTGACTTCGCATTCATGCGGGAATCGCACGTTCGACTTGGGCCTGAGCCATGGCCAAATTGTGAATACGACTCCTTTTTTGGCTCTCTGCAGTGTTATTATAATTGCATTCGGACGAGGGTGTTGTTGAATCGCGCATTCGCACGCTGAATAGTACTAAGTAGTGCAAAGAACTGAATGAATTCAATCAGTCCGACGCAGTCAAAGGAAGCCGGAGCAAGTTCTATTCACACTTACACTGCTGGGATCAATGGATTTTTGGTTGGTAAACATGAGGTCCAAACATGTCCTCCTGTTTCGGCCAATTTTTCCCGGCCAATGAAACAGGACAGCAAAAATGATGGGTGTTGTTGCAATTTTTGATTCATAAATGATGCCAAACATCTGGGATGTTGTAGCGACAAACTAAAGCAGAACAGCTGTAATTTTTCTGCCTGAGTTTGGGAGAAAAACACGAGGTGTGTTTATGGCCTGAGCATGAATGTAAAAAGTTATCAGTTTTTGGACACCAAACATGGATTCTGTTTTGGAACGAAAAAAACAAGGAAACATGACAAATGTTGGGGTGGCTTTCTAGGAACAGAAAATTGCCCATTTTGGATCTGGAAAAGTAACGACAATAAATCCTAATTTTCTGCTCTCTTTTTTCTCACAAAACATCCTGGCATCGCGCGCTGAGCGCCTGCCAGCTCGCTCGCTTAGTACCCGCTGGGCACTCACCACATCGCCCAGTGCCTTGTAGCGGTTTGATTTGGTCATCTACGAGTTTACCGGACCCGTCACCATGAGCGGGTGCTGGGCATGCAATCGATGTTTCGGGACAAAAAAGAGAGCCAAAAATTGGGTCTTTTCATTGCTCCTTTTCAAGATCCAAAATAGGCAGTTTTCTCTTCCTAGAAAGCCAGCCAAACATTTGTCATGTTTCTTCGTCTTTTTTGTCCCAAAACAGAATCCATGTTTGGTGTCCAAAAACTGATAACTTTTTACATTCATGCTCAGGCCATAAACATGCCTTGTGTTTTTCTCCCAAAATCAGGCAGAAAAATTACAACTGTTCAGCTTTAGTTTGTCGCTACAACATCCCAGATGTTTGGCGCCATTTATGAACCAAAAATGGCAACAAAACCCATCATTTTGGCCGTCGTGTTTCATTGGCTGGGAAAATTTGGCCGAAACAGGAGGACATGTTTGGACTCCATGTTTACTATCCAAAAATTCATCGATCCCAGCAGTGTTAAGAACTTGGATGCGAAGAAGAGCTATCCGGATCCAGCTCATCAGTGGACGGTCCACACCCTCGATTCATATGCTGGTGAAATTGAAAATTCCGCATTGATGGGGTAATCGCCCGTTCGACTCGGGACTGAGGCCTGAGCCACTAGGAAATAAGCGACTGCTTTTTTTGTTCTTTTCTTTTGACACATGGAAACTCTATCGCGGCAAGAACTGTTGGATTATACCCGCACGGCGTTGAAGTGCGGGCAGCCTCAGGAGAGTGGTGGACTCGGCAATTTGTAAGTACCCACAACTTGAAGGTCGCAGGAAGAACAGACCACTGCCCTGCAGTGTATTTATCTTGAGAATTGGACGCGCAAGTGAATGAATCGGCTCGGTAGTGGACGGTCCACGCCCACAGCCCCTGAATTGGCGAAGCGAATAATGCGGGAATTGCCCGTTCGACTCGGGCCTGAGCCATATTCGACGAGAATTCCTTTTTGGCTCTCTGCAGTGTCATAATTGCATCACCCCGGCGAGGGTGTTATTGAATCGTGCACTCGCCCGCTGAATAGTACTGGTGCCAAGAAGTGAATGAATTTCAGTCCGAGTCGTGGCAGGAAGGACGTTGCGAATTCTATTCACACATGAGACTTGGACGCGAAGCAGAACTATCCGGTTCGGTAGTGGACGGTCCACACCCATGATTCATCCGCTCGAATTGCCATCGCATCGATGTGGGAATCGCCCGTTCGACTCGGGCCTGAGCCATTGCCCATGCAACTCTAGCTTTTTATCTCTTTCTTTCGTTTGTAAAGGCTTTATAATCTGGTAGCTTGGATGCAAGTTGCATTGCGCCGCTCACCCGGTCCAAACGACCTGGTCGGAAGTCGCGGCATGTCCTGTCCACAATTCCCTTTGCGTCTTGAGACCAAACGGCGTAAGAGAATGAACCGGCTCAGTGGTGGACGGTCCACACCCATGATTCATACCCTGTATTTAATGCTGCATTGATGTGGGAATCGCCCGTTCGACTCGGGCCCGAGCCATGCCCTCAGGAAGAAATCCTCTTCTTTTTCTCTGGAGGCGTTGGCTTAGATTGCGCCAGCCGCCGGGTCCAAATATTCAAATGTGTCTCGAAACCAGGAGAAGGCTCGGTAGTGGACGGTCCACACCCATGATTCATCCGCACGAATTGAAGTCGCATCGATGTGGGAATCGCCCGTTCGACTCGGGCCTGAGCCATGGCGAAATTGTGAAAATGACTCCTTTTTTGGCTCTCTGCAGTGTTATTATAATTGCATCACCCCGGCGGCGAGGGTGTTATTGAATCGTGCACTCGCCCGCTGAATACTAGTACTAGTGCGAAGAAGTGAAATGAATTTCAGTCCGAGTTCAAGAAAGCAGGAGGATGTATGGACATGGTGAATTCTATTCACACTTGAGACTTGGACCCGCAAGAGTAATACGGCTCAGTAGTGGACGGTCCACACCCACGATTCATACTCTGTATCCTCATCGATGTGGAAATCGCCCGTTCGACTCGGGCCTGAGCCATTCTCCTTCTGATGATTGTTTTTTTTTCTCTCTCTCTCTCTCTTCTGCGGACGCGGAGACGATATTCTATATTCTATTCGGATACCTTGGATCATGATGATGAATTGCGCCGACCAAAGTTAATATTAGTCGAGCTCCAATTCCTTTTATAATTTATCTGTGTACTTACAGGTCTTGAAACCATAAGAAGAGATTGAAAAGGCTGGGTAGTGGACGGTCCACACCCGCATGCAATTAATGTGATGGGATTCATAATGCGGGGATCGCCTGTTCGACTCGGGCCAGAGCTATGCGCATTCGATAAACGTTTTTCTCTCTCTTTATTATTATTATTATTATTATTATTTTTATGTGGAGGCTATATAGTATCATTTTGTAGTTTAGATGTTACAACAAAATTGCGCCGCCCCCAAGTCCGGAGATTCCCCGTTCGACTCGGGTTTGAGCCATACAGCGTGCAAAAAAAAAAAAGTTATTATTTTTCTGTGGAGGTGTGAAAATGTGGGTGGTGAATTGCGCCGCCCGCCAGCCAAAGTCCATATTGGCATGGGCATCACGGTCCTACCCACCGTCTTGAAGAAGTTAGAAGAAGGCTTTGAAATGGCTCGGTAGTGGACGGTTCCACACCCGCATGCAATGCATGATTGGATTCATAATGCGGAGATTCCCCGTTCGACTCGGGGCTGAGGCATAGTTCGGTATGAATGTGACTTTTTTTGTCGCCGTTTCTCTTGCGGTGAATAAGTAAGGAGATTGATTTCAGCACTACGCAACTGTAACCAACCCGTTAGGAGGTTGTTTTGAAAAGCTGAAATTACTTAGCTGCCAAGATCGAAGCCCGACTTTATGGCATCACCCCGCCAACGACATCGGCCGACGAATCCGACTCTTTTTTCTCTCGCTTGGAAAAATGAATGATGCGCAAAGTGGTCCGACTTTTACTTATTTTTCGGGGCATATAAATATCGTGGCGTGCGGGAATTATGAGCCTTTCGCAACCCCGCACCGTCCCCTCTCCACCGATGGCTACCTCCGTCCCCTCTTCCTCTGTCGCCATAGATGTCGGATCCCCGTCGGTCATAGGAGGTCTCCGCCGTGCCAACCAATAGAAACTCGCCCACCACACCGGAAATGTGGGCATGCCTTCTCGTCCTTCTAGGGTGCAGAACGACGCGGCGAGTGCCGTCGCCCCATCTCTTCTCCCGTTCTATGTGCGGAGAAGAACGCCAACGCACAGCCCCTTTCTGACATCGAATACCATTCAAGATGCCACAACTCTAATGCGGCTCGATTTAGACTAATGGGCCTAGAGCGGCACCTCGTTTCTTGCTCTCCCTGGCCGCGCGGAAGGGTCTTCTCTCCCTTCTACCCATCGCCGCCGAGGCTGCGTTGACGCGTAGTAATACTCGCTTGGACCTCGGGTAAGCTCCGTGACGTCAAATAACCCGTGCTTACCCCGCAATTGACTCGAATTCACATGCCGCAGTCACCCGATCGCGCTGCACCCTAACGGCGTTTCAGACTAACAAAAGACACCCAGCTATCCCAATTGTTGTCTCTCTTGTTTCTCCTCCACTGTGATTAAACGGCCCTTGACGGCGACGCGGAGATGAACCATCACGGTGTGTATTTATCTTGTCTCAGACTACTCTTGTCTCTTGCTTTCACCATGCCGCGTCCAACACCCATCTCACGCCGGTCGTCTCTAGGATCCATCCCAGAAGAATCGGGCCTGCGCCTTTACGATACCGATGAGGAGGAACACTACATTCTCGACCTGGGCTCGGGTGTGGCTCAGTCCGCCTGTCCGACGCCGCAGCCCTCGCAGATCAGGCGGCCTATTCCCCGCAGACCGACAAGGACGAGGCCACAGAAGGATAAGGAGGCGGAGCGCGAGTGTGGGATATGGTGCGTGTGCTGGCGTCCTTGTGCGCATGCACATCTGTGATCTGCCACTTATACTTCCTATCCAATCAGCTTCGAACTCGCCGTAGCGCCCGTCCGCACCCTCTGCTGCGCGCACCTGTTCTGCGCCGAGCACATCTCCTCGGTGCGTCCCGTCGGTATTTTCTTCTCGGGCTCAGCTCACGATGCCGACAATAACAGTGGCTCCACGGCCCCGCCTCCGACGGGCGCTGTCCCGCCTGCCGCGCCCCCGCCGCCTCCACGGGCCTGCTAGCCCTCGGGCACCCCTCCACCGCCCTCCTCCACCTCGTCCCCCGCGCCCCCCCGCCCTCGCGCTCTCCCTCGCCCTCCCTCTCCTCCTCCTCCTCCTCCTCATTCTCCTCCGCCTCCGCCTCCTCCTCCAAATCCTACGCATCCTACCCCTCCCTCCCCGCCCCCGCTGCAGTCTCCGACCCCCTCTCCTCAGACGACTCAGAGCAAGAAGACGCCACAGACTACTCCCTCCCCGCGCTCATCCACGCGCGCGCGCTCCAGACGCGCAGGCACGTCCCGCACCCCTTCCTGAGCAGCGTGCTGGGGCTGCGCGCGGGGCTGGGGCGGGTGGTGAGGGTTGTGGGGTGGGTGGTCGTCGTTGCGGTGTTGGCGGGGAGGGGGAGGTGGGCGGCGGCGGATTAGGATTTGGGTGGGCGTCTGTCTCATGGGCGAGGCGCTGAGGCGACCCTTCGGGCTCGATTAGCGCCGATGGTGCCTTCGCTGAGTCTACTCATCTTCTTGCATCCATACTCACCCATCCATACATCCATACCGATCCGTCGATCCGCTGCATCTCTCACTGTGCATTCTGTACCTCTACCATCTCCATCTCCTGCTCTTCATTCGTTCTTCTGTACCCTGCATACCGCATACATTCACGACCTCCACGACCTTTTACGATTGCCTACTTCCATAACCATCTACCATCGATACTCATGTGTGTATGTATATGTACACTATGTAAGAAAGCAAAGCTGCTACAAGTCAAGAGGCAAATCTGTAGCACGAACGAAGTGGTAGGAAAGAGGATCGGGAAAACTTGGGATCTGTGAAGCGAATCATGTATCCCGGGATTCGCTACTTGCGGAGCCCTGTCTTTCCCAAGTCCTGCTCCTTCTCCCTCTGCTCGACAACACCCGAGCTACGATGGAACTGTAATTACCGCAGGAAAAGAAAAGAAAAATTCGCAGAAGAGTGGGCAGTGGCTCGGGCCCGAGTCGAACGAGCGATCCCCGCATCACAGTCTGCTTGTTACGATGCACAAATTGCGGGTGTGGAAACCGTCCACTACCGAGCCGTTCATTGGCCTGTGCCATTTGGTCTCAAGACTTGTACCCTTGTGGATGCTTTGGTGCGACTTCAAACACTTAATCCCTGCAGCCAGTTGCAAGCCGATGTTGCTACTATCTTTGTTCAGCACTTGGAGGTTAAATTTTGAAGGTTTAGATTTTGCCGCGAATTCGAAGGCGAAGTAGGGTAGGCGGATTGGTCACGGTTCGATTTCGGCTGAGCAACAGCGGCTAACAGCCGACGCCAAGACACAACTTATTTCCGGAAGGACTTGGCTGTATTTTGCTGAGATATCTGGTATAGAGAGACAAATACCAAGCTCCAAGCGTGGTCCATGTACCATGTATCAGCAGTATACAGATAGCCGGGATTTATCTTAGAAGATAACAAGGGGCTGGTCGGCCGCTTTGCGGCCTCCCATCCCTTTTTGTGGAATTTATTTGTTTCAAGACGAACTCACTGTTAAAAAAGGGCAGATCAAGAGCAACACACCACTCAAATTTACAGTACACTTGGTTAAATTAAGCTGAGTCGCCTTTTGAGCCCACCAATGACCATTCAATTCTGTCCATGATTGGTGAACCTTATTCACATTGAATTCAACTTATCTATGAGCTGGGGCACACAAAAATTATTTGGACTGTCTCAACCAGGGGCCCAGCCCTTTGTTTGCCTTGCACTCACACCGGGGATTGCTAAGCTCTGGCTCACCTTAGGTGCTATTAGAAATTCAGAGTATTGGACTTCGATTCAGATGAGTTGAAATCAACACTGTTTCCTGGACTGAGACTAACTGAATAAGTTTGATTTCAGCTCGACCTAAACCTAATGCGATATTTTGGGGTTCAGTTTGCACATCAAGCCCACTGAAACTTGGCAAGCATCCCCTTACCTGCTGGAACAAAAAGTCGACAAAGAGAGAACACAGAACATACACACATGGTCATGCTTGCCAAATTTCAGTAGGCCAGAGGTGCTCTTGGAAAGTTGAAATATGAGAATGAATCTCAGTCAGACTGAAATCAGAGCTGATTCTTGGTCTGAACCTAATGGACTCAGCTTTTCTTACAGTTGGACTGAAATTATTTAAGATTTTGTATAGTACTTCGTGCGCACCGAAACTTGGCAATCATCGTTAATAGGTGGGAGAAAAGGACGAATTTCCTACGTCATTGCGGCGCAAGGCCAGTGCCTGTCAGATTCTTGTCAGAGGATATTGGATGGTGACGGCAAGCTGCCGTCAACGGCGCTGGGCGGCAATGATACGGAAAGATGCAGATCAAGCCTGACAGTTCAACTTCAAGGCGGCATAGACAGTCATCAGCGGAGTTTAAAAAGCTTTAGACATCGGTTATTTTATAAAGAGAGGGATTATTATTGGTTGAAGCGGATCCGTGGCATGAGTTTTTTGTAAAGACCGTCCCATTTTCGATGGGATTAAGGCAGGAGACAGGATAGTTGAAGCTCGAGACTCAATAAGCCAGTGGAATGTAGAATGTGGCGAGGATCAGCTCTGGGTTGGCGCCGAGAAAGCCGAGCCTACAGTTGGAAATGCTCCTAGGCTGCGGGATCAAGAAAGCAATGCAATGCCGAATGCGGCAAGGATCGTGCAAGGTTCACGGCATCTCGATTGCAATGAAATCCATCAGAGCTCGAAAACCCATCGATTAGGTCCTCAAGGACATTAAGAAATAATGAGCGCTTTACGGTGTGGAGTGGATCTGGGTTCGAGTTTATCTGCGAGATGGCCGCATAATGGATGAAAAGCGGCAAGGAATTAGCGCCTGTTGCGAGGCCCAAGGCGGTAAGAGTGCTTACCGTGAGAGTATCCAGGGCTTTGGTGCCGTACAGTTCCGGTGGCGTGCGAGCACCCACAGTTTCAGGATGAAAGGTCCATAAAAGGAGTGTAAAAGGCTTCGGACGGACACCCGTAATTTTATAAAGAGAGAGATATGTCACGTTACCGTGTTCCCTCCGAGAGGGGAGTCTGACTGATGGCCGCCGGTCAATAAAGTACTCAGGAGAAATTTATGCCATTTATAGTCTATTTGGGGAAAAGAAGTATCATACTCTGGTCAAGGCCAGTATTTGCGACCCAATATAAGGGCATCCATGACGCAAATGCATTTCGACCCTAAGCTCCCTGAAATCCATTGACGTCATGAAGTATGGGCTGATGCGTTGTTGGAACATCGATGATGGCCCGCATGGGGAGTGTAAGTGCAAGGAATGGGAGGGGAGAGATGGGTGCGGGAGTCAGCCTCAAAATATTCAAGGTCATAAATTCATTCCTTTTGAAAAGCTCAACAAAGGATGCCTTATATAAAAATACCACAGCACTTGAATTTAGTAATTAAGGCAAGGCGAGAGAGCCAGTCTCCCCATACATGAACTATGAACACGGTAATTATGTATGTAGTAACTATGACTATACTGTGAGTATTTTTCAATATTAACATTCACAAGATACCCGATATCACCCTTCAAAAGATAGTTGTGGCGTCATTTGAGACCAAGGAATTCTGTCTGATGTGAGCAAAGACAAAAAAAAATTCAAGGTGAAGCTGGCTTACCTATTCACTTGCCTTGGCATCCTGGACGCCAGCTCCCGAAGCTGGCTCCATAGGCAGTTCCCTGCCACCTTCATTGTGATTTCCATCCAGTGTTAATGGAGCTGTCTGATGAAGAAGAAGACACAGACAGACGTCTCCACAGGTGTGATCCTGGAGGAAAGACTCAATTCCCTCAATGCCGAAGTCTCACTAGCCCTGTAAAATAACACATCAGAAACAGAGAGTTCCACTGCCTTGAATAGTATTGGTATACTCATTCTTAGTGTGAGTCATGGGATCGAACAAGACCATGCCATCTTTGTGTCCAATAAGCGCAGGTGTGCCTGGAATAATAGAAGATGGTCAGGTAGCGTTAGAGTTAGAAAGAAAAAGAAAAACCTTGGAGATCAGCAAAGACTAGACTCCGGTTACTATGTCCCCAAGCAAAATGTGCAAATGCATGAATGGTGGCGCTGCGCAAGTCCTTCTTGTGCAACTTGTGAGAGAGAGTGTACGTGAAATGCTCAACAAAAGAAGATCATTTTGGTTCCACAAGCCATGTCAGTCCCGGCGAGTCTGGTCCGATCTCCTTCACACCAGAGGCAGGAGTCGCACATTGGATCTCCTCAGCCAAGAATGCGTCTGCAAAGGCAAGATCTATATGAGGAATTATGTTAATCAGAATTCAACTGAGTGCAAATAAAAATAAAAATAATAAAAAAGACCAACTCTGATCGATTGAGATATTGAGGTTGTTTGCATACTTGAAAAATGCTTTGAGGAACCAAGCACCTAATCCAAGCCGTGACGCTTCAGCCTGGATCTGGACTACATGCTCTTCAATGGTGAAGGGAAGGGTGTCCGGGGTTGAGTTTTCACTGCTGTCTTCAGTGAGACGATAGAACCTTTTCAAAGCATAATGGGACCCATTGTCGCATTGAAGCTGCACAAAAAAATATTTGAGAGAATTGTAAGCTACATGAAAGAGATACGCACATCATACACATGTTTCATTGCACCTGAACCAAAGGGGATATCCCGAACTTTGCCGTTGATGATATGTACAGAGCTTTCAAACTCCGGAGTCCCACTGGCAGCGTCCACGACACAGAGGATCTTTTTGAGTACCACACGAGATCTATTCTGAGCTTCTGCTGGGCCTGAAAGCACAGACAGACAGAATTCAGAGCGCAATGGAGTGCCTGCAAACGACATTAGCGATGGACAACGGCTTCCAAATTTAAATATAAATACCTTGAGTCGAGGAGGTCTGCAGAACCCTAAGACGTTTCATGCCTGAGGGCACGGGCTCTGCCGAGGAGCGCTTTCGAGATTGTGCTCTGGAACCGGCCCGGGAGTCAAGGTGGGAACTTTGGCCATCCGCATCATCAAATGCTGAGACGGTTTCGGCCCACTGAAAGAAAAAACCATCAATATGGCCGGAACAGATAAGCGTGGACCTAGAACTCACACTTTCCCAGTCAACATAAAGCTCCAGAGCCATAAATCCGCCCCTCCCTCGCTTTGCTGTTGCAGCCAGCTGTTTCCAAACTGCAGGTACCGTATCCACATAAATTGCCGCATTTTCAACACTAGAATTAACCGCATAGAACTCCCCAAGGGTAAGGTTGGATGTGTTGGGAATTGGCATCTTATTCCCAGCCCATCAAATGCTGATGTGTTCCCTACAATCATGCTTGTAAATGAATGCAAGTGGAGAGAGATGCCTGCCCACATACGGAAGGAGAGGAGAATTTTGGTGACGATGCCACTCCAGAGAAATTTGGGCAGTCAAGGTGCCCTTTATGTCTGAACACAATTGGAAGTATTGAATGCCAATCAAATGCTAACCAACTCAGGGAAAGAAACTAACCAGGAAGAAGATTGGATGTGGCCCAACGCTTGGTACCCTGTCCAAGATCAGGAACAAGAGTCTTTTTAACCCGTACCTGATCATAATAATGGACATAAGAAATTAATCAATTAGAAGTAGCATATACTTACCTGCCAGCCAACCATTAATTTCTCTTTGCCAGGATCACCGTCACCGTGCTCATGGCAAAGGAGTGTTCTGGTTGTAAGCGAGGACGTTGCTCCTGGATTTGTTAACCCTAGCTTGAATCGGTTTCAGACTGTAGCCGCTCTCTCCAAGACTGTTGAAGGGATATTATGTGTAGCAGGATCTGAGACATCAATTTGACGAACACCATGACCTGGATTGACATACAATGCTCTGGATTTGTTCCGATAATCTCGGCCTTGCACAAAGCGGCTCCACAAGTCACTACATGGTCATTTCCTTGCAAGACAACATGCATGTTGTTGCGGCGAGTAACACCGCATGCAATGCACTGCTCCCAGCTCTTTAAAGATTGTCAGAACGTGAATAGAAGAAGATTAACGAGAGTAACACACCACTATATCTGGATAGTCCGGACTATCGCGAGAATGTGCT